CCGCAGAGGTGCGGGCTATAAATAAAATTTATTATTATTATTATTATTTATTATTATGTTTGTGATATTGAGAAGTGAGTTTGTGTTGCTGTGGAAGAAAATAATTCCATGTTAGTACTGCATTTAGAAAATGAGTGTTGTTCAGGCAAAGGCTCAAAATGTCCAGCAGATGAGTAATTGAGTTGACTTGTCAGGCCAACTGGACTGCACCTGTTCCTACCAGCAGACATGGAGCAATATAATTGCCCCAGCATTGCTAGGATTGTTAGTAATTTTTCTTGTGACAAAGGGTTTGGCGTACTCAGTGACATTTCTGATCAAACTGGTATGCGCCAAAAATTTTCACCATCTTCTAAATTGGTGAATAGAACAGTTTTATTTAATGGATCACCAAAGTAATAGCTTGAGCAAATTGCAGATATTTTTCATATTTAATGTAATATGTTTTAAAGTCTCATTTGCTATCAGTGATGTCTAGATGATTTTGCTTATTCCTTATGAATTGCAGAACATTATGTGTCTTTCAGGTATATCCATTTCATAATAATAATAATAATTTATTTCTATCCCGCCCCTCTGCAAACGCAACTGGATTAAATAAAACTGCATTAAAATGACTGCGCTGTTCAAGCGACATCTTTCTTTTGGGCAACATTTTACTTACACTGCTGGATTTTTTGAAGTCTTAATGTAGCAAGATTTCAATAGAACAAAGACGTTATACAAGTACTGTGTGTTGTTTATTATAAAACATATAAAACTACTTTGAATGTAATACATCTATATTCAGTCCACCATATTTTTCCTCATTAAAACTAAAATACTGGATCTTGAAAAAGAAGAACCTAAACACAGTCTAGATTGTGAAAGGAATTATTGGAGGTTTGGCAATAAGTTTACTTTCAGAATATTGTACAGTGGACCCTTAGTATCCAATGTGGTTTGACTCCTGGACCACCCATGTATACCAAAATCCATGGGTGCTCAAGTCCCATTATATACAATGGCATTGTAAAATGGTGTCCCTTAAATCAAGACTTGCTTTGGGGGATTTTTAAAATGGTTGAATCCATGAATGCAAAATCTGTGGATATAGAGTCCTTGACTCTACTCAAAATTAAAGGGGCAATATTTTTTTTAATTTCAAATCTACTTCGTTATCCACAATGGTATATATTTTTATTCTAGCAGGTCTTGTTGAATAGAATTTAGAATTTGATTTCAGGTAGAATGTTAACATTTAATTAAATTGATTTTAATTCAGATCTAAAAACCTACTTTAGGCTTGTCCGGTGGGATGTTTCACTTTTTTTCTTTAAACAGCAGGGCTGTCTGCTAAATCATGGAGATAATTTTATCTCCCTTTCAGGTTTATTATGTGGCCTGAAGAGGAGTTGTTGTTTTTCCAGGAAGGTGTGAAACAAGATGGCAATGCATGCAAATAGTGCTGTTCTTTAAAAACCAGCCACTGTAAAAGTCTGTGATATCTTTTGAGAAGCTTTCTTTTCTTTTCTTTTAAAAACATGTTTGGCTTTGTTAACATGCATCAGTTATCCCATCAAAAGTTTCTGGTAACTAATGGTACCAGAGTCAGTGTGGCATAGCGGTTTGAGTGTTGGACTGTGATTTTGGAGATCAGGGTTCAATTCCCTGCTTGGTCATGAAACCTACTGGGTGACCTTGAGCAAGTCACATATTCTCAGCCTCAGAAGCTGACAGTGGCAAACCTCCTCTGAGCAAATCTTGCCAAGAAAATCCCATCATAGGTTCGCTTTAGGGTCACCATAAGTCGGAGCTTGAAGGCACACAAAAACAAACAATAATGGTAGAAATCGTTTGCCATTCTGCTGCTTTGGCATTCAGATAGCCATACAGGTTTTGTATTTAATTAGAAACTAACTGATCTGTAGTATGATGTCTTAAATGGGAAGAAAAGGTATCCATTCAAAATTTTACTCTTTCACATCAAAGCACTATAAGGTTTTTAATGAGTATGAAGCTGCCATTCCCTTCCCCAAATTACATTTGTCCATGGTGTAGTTAACTACATTTATTTTTTGCCTGAGAGAATAACAGTTGGGTAATTTATATATGCATATTGGATTCTGAAACATGTAAGTGATTAGTTTTCAGTTTTAAGTAATTGTTGGATGTCCATCTTGGCTCTAGTAAAGCATTAAAGGAACTGAAAGCTGCCCTTTCCTTTGCTAAGCAGATAAGTCTCCAGTGCTTTCTATTGTTTACCTGAGTTGGATGGAGATAACAACAAATTAACCAGAGAGTATATTGGGGAAATTCTAGTTATGTATGGTGTTGGACGTTTTGTTTTTGTTTTGTTATTTAGGATACTGACGAAATACTTAGGCTTTTGCAGGCTTTCAGTAAATTTGTAAGTGTTTGCCAATGTAAAAGTAGAAAGGCCATGTTAATTGGGTAAGCTAATTAAGAAGGCAGAGGAGAGCAGGAGGAAACAAGTGCTAAATACGTAGGTGAACATTTTTGGCTCAGCAAATCTCAGAGTCCTTCTGTGAGTGTAGCAGGAGCCATATGCTTGGTTGTCAGCAGTCCCATCAGGGACTGAAGACAGCAGAATCCAGCTGGGGAAATGAAATGTCTGTACTTGAAGAAGGACGAAAGTAGCTAGTTATGCAGTATGTTGTAGCCAATTTACAAATGCTGCATTCTTTTTGCTGGTGGTATTTGCTGCTAGTTTGCAGTTGGCTGATAAACGAAAGACACAGCTCATGGTCCAGCATACACCAGTTGGAAAGTGAGACCTTTTTAGATCAAAAGTTTGAAACATTTTTTATTCAGCTGCGTGGGACGACAAGCTTGAATGGATGCCTGGCTCTCTGGACTGGTGAATAGCATGAGCGCTGTATTCTTGTGTAGTATTGTTTGCTAATATTATTTTCTGACATCTGTTTTTGAAAGGCATTTTTGTCTTTATTTATAGATTAGTACATAGCATGGACTATTGCTTTTGTTTATACTGCTTTTATCTGTGTAGAGCAAAGTAATATGGTTTGTCAGAAATAATGGGATGTGGTGGAGTTGTTAAGGAATCAGATCAGAAGACAAATAATTTATGTTTTTATTAATGTTTTAAATTTAACACGAGGCAACAACATTAGTTATTTTACTCCTGGAACCTATATTTGGTACCAGCTAAGAAAAATGTATTGCAATGGTTTAGTTGTGAAAATCCATTTCTATCTCATTAAAAGTGATAAGCTGTGCAAAAGGCATTGACTTACAGTATTTGAATAGCTTAGGTACTAATTGGTTTTCAGCTGTGCTTTGTCTGGCTCACCTGCGACTTTTTGGTTCATAGCCATGTTTTGCTACAAGGTAGGGTGTCTAGTAATTTGCCTGCTGTCTTCAGAGATACAGTTATTGGATTTACTTCAATATTTTGCAGTTAGAGTTAGATGCCATAACTTTATCATGTTAAAAAAAATGAAAATAATGAAATAGGTAATCAAATATTTTGTAGGACATTACTGATTTGTTTAAGAATAGTTGTGGAGTTGTGGTAGATATTATATCATATTTTATAAACAAAATACATGCTTTCAAATGTGAATTCATTTTCTTTTAATTATTTCTAAATAGGCACTTTACAGGGCAATAGGATGCATTTAAGGTATATATTTGACTGGTCATGCTACATGTTGATATGATCATATTACATTTTGCAGTCGTGATGTTGTTTTCAGACTTCATATTCAGGGTTATTTACTATGTAGAGCACTAACATTTACCTTGGTTTTTACTTGCAATTATCTCTGGGGACTTAGATAGAACATTCTATAAATCCTCATAATTGGTGTCATTTGCAATAATGAAGAAAACTTTCACTAAAAGGATTTTCTTTTACGTTTAGCTTGCACAGTTTAGGCAAAGAAAAGCACATTCAGATGGGCAGCATGCTCCCAAGAAGCAGAAGAAAAAGAAGAAAGTATCAAACATTAAAGATGAAGAAATGGTACAAGAAGCAATGGATATTGGCCATCTGCAAGGAGAAGATGCAGCCACATATCACTGTCAAAGAGGAGCAGCTGCTACTTCTGATTTTACTGTACTGCCAACTTTGCACAGTGGTGAAATGATCAAGCATGATCACACGTATGCCACAGAAGTAAGTGTGTCTAACTTTGAATATATGTAATGTTGGTTCAATAGATCCATTATATATAATTAAGACACTACCTCTCTGTTCCACAGTTATACCCAATGTTCCTTTTTTATAGAAAAAATTCCTGTGTTTCTCAGTAGCTGATGAAGGCCCTCTGTAATGCATAGTTTTAAACAGTACAAATTGTGACAAGTGAAGTTCTGATTTTGCAACGATTCTCTTATTTATTTATATTATTACTATAATTTTATTCTTTAAATCTCATTTTTAAAAGAGGGAAATTGAGTGGCCCATTAAGTAAATAGATCATCTAAATTTTATTAGGTAGAAAGTTACATTAGCAAGTAAAAGTTTTCACTATTTTAAGTGACTTGTGTAGAATAGATTGTTGATTATAGATCTATTTATAATTGGTTTTCTGAAACGAAAGTTTTACCATGCAGCTTTCTTATCAATGGTAATTTAAAATGCTGTTTGACAATGACACCAGGTTGGCAGTTTGAGACCCAAGCCGCGCATGATGGAGTGAACTCCCGTCACTAGTCCGAGCTTCGGCTAACCTCGCAGTTTGAAAGCATGTGAAATTGCAAGTAGATAAATAGGCACCACTTTGGTGGGAAGGTAACAACTTTCTGTGCAGTCATGCTGGCCGCATGACCATGGGATCATTTTTGACAATGCTGGCTCCCTCGGCTTAGTAACAGAGATGAGCACCATCCCTGACAGTTGGATATGACTTGACAACATTGTCAAAGGGGAAGCCTTTACCTTTACTTTTGTAGTTGACATGTTATTTTAAATGTTTAGCTAAAAGGCAGTCACTAGAATATATAGTTTAGAATATAAACTAGCTAATTCCAGGACTCTATAGATATACTTGTGCCAACATGCAAAAACATGCTCATCCCATTTTTATCTATCTACCTGAAAGTCACCTATCAACAATATAACTTAACATAAAGAACTTTATAAGGAAAAGCCTTGTTAATATATTTGTTATGTTAACATGTTGTTAATATAGTTAGGTCTTTCTGTAATGATCTTTAAGGGTAATGTCCTTGACTTGCAAAGATTCTCACTAACATAAATTTTAAAATAAACTGAAGATTCTGTCATGCGACATGAGTTCTGATGACTTGCTATTTAAGCTGATATTTGCCATATATACTCAACTATAAGTCAACCTCATGTATAAGTCGCAGGCAGGTTTTGGAAGCTAAATTATGGATTTTGATCTCACCTGTGGATAAATTGAGGGTAAAACTTAACAGGTATGTCATGAAGGATGTAAAGGACAAAGCAAAGGAAACCGATGCCAAAGAACTTACAAAATTCCAGCAGGCATAATTGTTTGTGCTCATACTAAAGGCTGCATGATAAGCAAGTAGAAGAAGGCCAGTGCTTCCCAGGCAGATTAAACTCTTGTCTTTCACCAGGGGATGGTTT